CATTGCCCAGCTGCTTCTTCGCCACCCGCCTGAGCAGCTCCTCGAAGACGTGGCTCTTCTTGAGCTCACGCCCAAGCGGAGCAGTCACCCCGAGCCACCGCTTGAGCAAGTGCAGCTTCTTCAGGGAGCCGTGTCTGCAGAACTGAACGAGGAGCTGCGAAGACCGCGCGCTTCCGCCGGAGGAGTCCAAAAAGGCGCAGAGGTCCTGCAGCAGCTTCGTCTCGATCTTCGTCGCCATGGCCTGCCGCGAGCTGCGCAGCAGCGCCTCGCCGCGGGAGATGAGGCTGGTTTGAACGCCCCTCGCTCTCGCCTTGTCGAGCCTGGCGCGCAGCCGCTTGACAGCGTCGGAGAGCCGACGCCATGACAGCACGCAGCCACTTGACAGCCGCCCCTCCATGGCGTCGGAGAGCCGACGGCGCGCGCGCTCGCGCTTCTCCATCTCCTCCTTGAGCAAGCGGCGCAGCCGCGCCACGCCGTCTTCGCACACCGCCTTCTCAACTGCCGCCCACTTCGCCGTGTGCAGCGCCGCGCGCAGCGCCTCGACGTCCTCCCCCTTCATGGCCTCGGTGAGGGATTTGGCGGCCAGCTCGCGCAACCACGACTCGCCGCGAGAGATAATCTCTGGCTCGACGCGCTTCGCCTTGGCCTCCTCGAGCGCGCTGCGCAGCGGCACCATCCCTCCCTTCCTGGCATCGGCGAGGGATTGGGCGGCCCGCTCGCGCTCATGCTCGACCTGCACCTGAGTGCGCTGCCGCTGCACCTATAGCAGTCAATCCGCGGGTCATGGCAATCATATCAAGCCCCTGGCTGCTCCGGTTCGCACGCCTCGGTCAGCAAGGCAAGGAGCCGAGCCTCGTCGGGCTGAGCCTTGTCCAACAACGCCGCAAGGCGGGTCGCCCGCCGCTCCGCTGCAATCAGCATCGCCTCCCCCCCCGCGCTCGCCTTGACCGCCTCGAGCGCCTCCTCGAGCTCCTTGCTCGCCCCGGCCACCTCCGCTTTGCGCTCCTCGCGCAGCCGCTCTTCTTCCTCTCTCTGGCGTGCCGCCGCCGCCTCCACCTCTTTCTGCTGCGCCGCCTGCACCTGTTTCTGCCGTGCCGCCGCCCTCGCCAGCTCCTCCTCGGTTGCCGAATCGAGCCGCGGCACGCCACCCGACCCTCGGAGCTCGTCCATTCCGTGGGCAAATCGGCAATGCACACCGTAGCGGCAAGTGCCGCGCGGAAAGAAGTCGCACAGCCTGGTCTTGTGGCGAAACCCCGCCGGCGCAGCGGCAGGCGCGGCAGCAGGCGCGGCGGCCGCAGCGGCCGGCTGAGAAAAGTACAACACGCGATGGACCGGTTGGCGCCCGCTCAGCTGAGGCGGGGCGGCGGACGCTGCTGTCGAGAGTGGGCCGCCCCGATGCGGTGGTGTTCGGTGCGGGGGGTGCCGGCGCCCGCGACGGTGCGGTTGGGGCCGGGAGACGGTGCGGTTGGGTTGAACCCCCTGGGGGGGAAAGGAGAAGGGTGAGGGGGCGTCAGGGGCGCGGTGGCGCTGGAGCGGGGACACGGGCGCTGGTGCAGTCGGGCCGTGAGGCATGGGGCTGCGAGGGGGAGCGCACCATCCCGTGGTGCCGTTCCATGATGGAGAACCCGGCCAGAGGAGCAGGGGCCTGGACGGGTGGGGCGGGGCGCGTCGAGCGGAGCGGCGATCAATTCGTATGATGGGACGGAGTGGACTTGAGTGCGCGTGGGATCGGAGTGGACTCGAGCGCCGTGCGATCGATCGCGCTACCGCCATCGATCGCGCTACCGCTGTGACAGCGGCGCAGGCGAGGCGGGAGTGGTGACGTGAAGCGCGGCGGCGCGTGGTGCGAATGCTCCGAGCCCGTGCGGCCCGTGAGTGGAGTCCCACGCTCACCGTGCGGGTTGGCGTCGAGGCAGACGGCCGAGGAGTCCGCCAGCGGCTGGGCCCGCCCAAAAAAAAGAATTAGCAGGGACACTCACCTGAAAAAGAGGAGAAAGATGATGTGACTGGGTCGTGGCAAGCAGACGAGGAGAGCTCCTCGGAAGCGAGGGCGGTCGAGAGAGAGGAGGAGAGACGGGGCGAGGAGGGAGGGATTTTCGGCAGTAGCGGGCGGCGCGGGGGGGGACGGCGGGGAGGGGGGGCAGGGTACTCTGCCTTTGGGTCGGTGAAGCAGCGTTCTCATCGTGCCACCCATCGATTGACGTAGGTGAGGACGAAAAGGGAGGGACCAGATCTCCTCGAGCACTGCAACGCGTAGCTCTTGCGGACGTCATCTGAGTGAGGCGCAAGAATAGGGAGTCAGGTTGCGTTCAACGAACGGAATCAACCATTCTTATAATCCTGCCGCTGTTAGGTTTACCGTGCGTGGTAGAAGAAAGGCAATGCGCAAGTCTTTTGTCGCGCGCAGCCCGCAAAGCGCTGTTTGTTTGTCAAAGCCGGCCGTGATCTGGCCAGAGCGTCGGCAGTGCCGAGACCCATAGGGATGGGACCTTCGCCATTTCTAGAGAGAGAGAGAGATTGTTCATTTCCACCGGGGCTGCAAGGGCACTCCAGCGGGCGGCATGGCCGAGTGGGGGCCGGGGGCGCACCTGACAGCCGTCCCGTTAACTTGGCGAACACCGCAGAAAGAAAGAGTTCAACGCAACTTAGTGTCATCTAAAAAGAAACCAGCTTTTTCCTCAACCCTCCGCCCGCAAAAGAATTTCATGTCCGCCGATAACGATTGGGGTGGGGGCCCCAACTCGTGGTAGGCCACAGTTTATCTGGATCAAACTGAATAGTGCTCCTGAAGGCCCTCTCTACACACAGTAGCAGCTCACGACTAGCAGCTGTTGTGGCTGTATTTGTAGCCATTTTTAGGCTTCAACTGGTCCCAAAATAGTAGCAACGCCTCATGAAAATCAGTCAAAAAAGCCCCAAAAAATCGGCGCCTGCGGCGGGCCTCCTGGGGCTGCGCCCCAGACCCCCCGGGGGGCCTTCGACCCCCCAGGCCTCGACAGCGCTTTCGGTGGCATGCAGCTCTTTGCGACAGAAGCCTGGAGCAGCAGCTCCTCTGCTGCTCACCCACTCTGCACAGCTGACACAGCCTACTGTGCGGCTGCCACAGCTGTGACAGCGATGGGCTCGCCCTCACTGGCCCTCAGTCACTTGTGCTGCGGCTTGTGTGAGCGACACTGCTCGGCGACTGCCGGCACACTGTGAGACCATGGGTGTGAGGTAAACCACGCTACCAGCGCTTGGTCACATCGGCCCCGAGGTCAGATCCATCTACTCTGTTGATGACAAGACTTGTCTACCCGGGCTGGACCTGGAGCCGAGCAGGAGGGCCCGGCGCCTTACCCCCAGGTCAACTCACCCTCCACACCCCGTATGGTTATTCGTTGATTTTGTTCCCAAGCAATCCGTGCACCTCTCAAACGACAGCGACACCGACCTCTCAGCACTCAGGCGACACCGACGACACCGTCCTCAGGCACTCTCCCATCCAGCACGGCCAGCACCGCCGCCGCGATCTGCAGCCCGACGCGGTCCTGCGCCTCGCGCGTCGCTCCGCCGATGTGCGGCGTGCCGATGAAGCCCGGGCAGCCGAGGAGCGGGTGGTCGGCGGGCAGCGGCTCCTGGTCACGGCCAGACCGGTGTCAAGAGGCGCTGTTCACACGCGAGGGGAAGAGGGGGTCGGCGGGCAGTTGGTCCTGGTCGAAGACGTCGGAGGCGTAGCTGGTGAGCGTGCCGGCGTGGAGGGCCGCGGCGACGGCAGCCTCGGGTGAGGGTGAGGAGTAGGGTGAGGGTTCAGGGTGAGTGAGGGTGAGGGTCAGGGTACGGGAGGGAGAGGGAGAGGGAGAGAGAGAGAGAGAGAGAGAGAGAGAGAGAGGGAGAGGGAGAGGGAGAGAGAGAGAGAGAGAGAGAGAGAGAGAGAGCGAGAGCGAGAGAGAGAGAGAGACCTCGTCCGCGATGCCGCCGCGCGCAACGTTGATCAAATGGCTGCCACAAGCAGCGCCGTCCGGTCCAACCGCCGGCATGCGCTCGAGCATCTCACCTCCTACCCAACACATTAGGCGGTGTGTGGGGCGGCCGTTGGCCGAAGCGCGTGGCGCTTGAGCCTCGCGGCGCCGACGAGCAGCCGCGTCTGCGGCGTGAGCGCGCAGTGCAGCGAGACATGCGAGCACGTGCAGAACAGCTCCTCCGCCGACGGCAGCAGAGTCACGCCAAGCAGCGACGCCTGGGGGGTGGGCAGGAGCGTGTGGAGAGACGGCACATGGAATGGGAGTAGTCGCACCTGGCAGGGCGGCGGCCGTCTCGGACGCCGCATGCGGCGAGTATGCAAACACGCGCATGCCGAGGGCGGCCGCCGCCGCCGCGACGCCGCGCGCAATCCTCCCAAACCCGAGGAGGCCCAGGTTCTTGCCGGCTAGCTCTGAGCCAAGCCGCGAGCCTGTGAAGAGGAGAGAGGCGTGGGCACCGAACAGAAGGGCTGAGGCGAGGGGCTCCGAGCCGAGCCGCTCGCCTCGCGCGGGTAATCTCGGGTAATCTCGGGTAATCTCGGGTAATCTCGGGTAATCTCGCCTCGCGCGGGTGGCTTGAGCCACTCCCCGCTGCGCAGGCCGCGGTCGGCTGCCGGCAGGTTGCGCGCCGCCGCAAACAGGAGGGCGAGAGTCATCTCGACGACCGACGCCGTCGACGCGGAGGGCGTGTTGACCACCGTCACTCCCGAGGCGTGGGCGCCGGCCACGTCAATGTTGTCGACGCCCACGCCCGCTCGCCCGACTACGCGTAGCCGGCCGGCAGCTCCAGCGGAGAGCGCGTCGGCGCGGAGGGTCGTCGCTGATCTAACGATGACGGCGTCGTAAGCGGCGAGGGCACCCGCACAGAGCTCATCCTCCGTGAGTGAGCGTGAGGTGACGTCGGCTCCGCCCGCGGCGAGCGCGTCGAGCGCGGCTGGAGCGAGGCCGTCCGTCACGAGCACCCGCTGCGCTGCGCCGCTATTGGAAATTGAGATGGGACGGCTGGGTGTGCGGAAAGCGCGCGCGCGGCCGACGGGTACGAGCGACAGGCCTGCGAAAGCGAGGGCCGCACTGATCATGTGGCTGTCCGGGTTCGTTTGAAGAGGTGGGGGGGGTTGAGCTGTGTGTGCAGTGTGGGGCAGTGGGGGGAGGGAGAGAGAGAGAGAGAGAGAGAGAGAGAGAGAGTGGGGGGAGGGGGGGGTCACGTCCTCTCGCTTCGTTCGTATCCATGTCAATCCATCTGTCTACGTGTCTTCGCGTCATTCCTCTACAAAAGCAGCCTTGAAATCACCAGCAGGCGCTGTCTGTGCCGCGTTTTCGATTTCTCGCGGCCTGTCTGTCGCTGTCCATGCCGCTCGTCCTTCTGGGCACTTCTTTCTCCATCCACCTGGGGGGGGGGGGGGGGGGGCTCCGGGAGCTGAAAGCAGGCGGAAGTCCATTGCCTAATGTGGCGACCAAGTTTTGAATTTCAGGTGGCAGTCCGGGTTCTGTGAAGAGGGTCGCTCGTCGAATGCGAGCCAGTTCGCTCGCGACGCCGACGCCGACGCCGCCGCCGGAACGACTGCGGCGGCCGGTCCCCGGCCAGCGGCCGTATCGAGCCTGCCCGTCGCGAAGGTGCGGACCTCACGCGCCCCACCGGCCGCCCGCGCCGCCGCGCCCACGTCTCTCTCTCTCTCGAAGCCCAGCGCCACGCCACGACTCCCATCGCGACGACTCCCGTGCTCGCTCGTGGCGCAGGCGATCGACTCATGACACCCATCGAGCGGATGGGCGCGTTCCCGCCGCGACCCGGTACTCTCGAACGACTTTTGAGGGCAAAATACCGCTCATACGCCAACGATGTTGTGGAGGGAACATGTGCTGATGGTCCTGGCCCGATTGGTTTGCCCAGAAAGCTTCTGCGTTCCTGGGCGGTCGTTAAGGTAAGGTAAGGTAAGGTAAGGTAAGGTAAACTTCTCCACACACACGAGGTGGTGGGGCAAGGGGGGGCAACCCTCGCGTCTCCACGTCTAACGACAGGAGCCCCACGGCATTCAAAGTGCAAGGCCCGTTGCGCGGTTCGCTCCCCGCACACCGGCCCGGAAAATGGACACCTCTACTGTGTGAGATGGGTAAAAAGGAACAGGCCCCCGCCCGTGCGATCTTTGTGTGCAGGGGTTCTTTGTGGCATGTGGGTGTGGTCGGCGACTAGCCGGGGTGTCGTCCTCCCGATGGGGGACTAGCACTAATGGTTACCCTAGAAAAGAATTTTATAACCCAGATTCTTGAAAAATGAAAGCTCTCACAGCACACTGATCACTGACACGACAAGGGCGCAGTGCTGAAATTGCTTTAAAAATTGGCGAAGAGGGTCGTGCGGAGCGGCAAGAAAAAGTTCGGTCGCCCCGGCTTTCTTCTGACCAAAATCCCTGTGTGGTGGCGGCGTGCCATCCTCCCATCCCTCTCTTCGTGTCTGTTTGCTTGGGTGCTTGCACGGCTCAGCAGAGGTCGATGCCGCGCTCCTCGCACACGGCAACCAGCTCTGGCTGCTTCTCGTTGTCCACGATGAGCGTCTGCGCGCGAGGGGAGGTGCGATGTCCGATGAGCATTGGGCGAGGGAGGGCCGTGTGGCGTGGCAAGGGGGCGTCTCGCACCTTCAAGCTCGGGGCTGCCCCCTGCTTGAGGGCGGCAGCCAGCGCCTCGCAGCCCTCGTCGCCAATCTTGTTGCCCCAGAGAGAGAGCGCCTCGAGCAGCGGCGCTGCCCCGCTCGCGAGGACCTCCGCCAGCTGCGCCGCCTCCGCGTCGCCCCAGCCGAGGCGGCTGTAGCCCAGCTCGGTCGCCTTGCCAAACTGCTCCTCGAAGGCGTCCTCGTACAGCCGCTTCACCAGCGGCTTGTCGTCCTTGCCGTTGGTGAAGCTCTTTGTCTCCAGCTCCGCCGCGAATGCAGACGGCAGCAGCGGAGGGCGCCGGCCGCCGTCCTGGACGCACTCGTCGATGAGGCTGCCGCAGTCGTACTCCTTGCCGTCGCGTATCAGGCCGAGGTCGAGCGAGAGGTCATAGGCCTTGGTCAGGCTCGCCCAGGCGTTCTCGGTGGCGCACCAGCCGCGGTCAAAGTACTTGGCCACGTTGGTGCCCTCGGCCTGGTCCTCCGCCTTGTGGCCGTCCGGGAAGGAGGTCAGCCGCAGCACGTATGTGTGCGGGTGGGAGTAGAGCGTGCCGAGGCAGCCCAGCCCCTGCTTGAAGAGCGCGTTCTGCTCCTCGGTGCGCATAGCAGGTACTTAGTCCCGAGCTGAACCGCCCCAGCCACCCGTCCCCGTCCCCGTCTCCCCTCCTCCCACCCGCAGGCTGCCTCCTTCGCCGCGGAAAGGAGGAAGCCGCCCCCAGATCCCAGCACCCGCCCTCCCCGCACCCGCACGGCGCCCACGTCCCCCGCTGCCGCCTCCCTTCACAACAACAACAAATCAATCAACGTTTTGCCGCAGCCGGAGCCAGCCGACGGAGGTATCTTGAAGACTAGAGTCGAGCGGGGCGGAGCGGCGAAGCGCTTTGGCGAAGGCAAACTAGGCAGCGCCAAACAATCCACAACTCTTATGCGCTATCTAGAATTTAAACAAAACAACTATCTAGAAGGGAAAGAACGACGAGAGCGGGATGACCGCGAGGTGGTCAAGGTTGCAGCGAGAATCGGCGAGAGACTGCGGCGTGCGTGGGCAAAAACGAATAGAGCAGACATCTCCCACGCGTTTTTCTTTTGTGCAAGCCGTGTCCGCTGGGAACCTTTGGGGTGTGCTTTTCTTTGTGCTGTGCCTTTTGTGGTGCTAGTCCGTGTCAGTCTGCTGTGACGGGGGCTTGGATTGGTAGAATTCTTTGTGCTGCTCAATAATAAATAGGGCAGATAACCCCTGGTGGGATTAGGGCAGCAACCCGACGGGCAGACCCCGCCCCGCTCGGAGGGCGTGCACCACACAGCACAGACAGCTAGCCCGGTTTTTCTTTTGTCTGAGCCGATGGCGGACAGGGCGGACACCCTCCGCTTCCTCCCGCTCTCTGGCGCGATCGACGTCAGCTTTCTCACCGAGCTGGGACGGCGCAAGCTGCACGAGTTCAAGCTCTCCGACGCGCCGGTCGAGATCCGCGGCACGTTCGCGCCCTCAAACCACCATGAGGCGGCCGCCCGCTCTCGCCCGCCCGCAGCGCACGTTCCCGCTTCCCACAACGGCTGCGCACGAGCCGCAGGTGGCCTCGCCGCTGTGCGTGAGCGCCGACGCCTTCGACTCGGGCGGCGCGGCCGGGGTTCCTCCCTCGCTCTGCGTGGTGCCCGGCACACTCATCAACGCAAACACACTCGAGGACTTCAAGGAGTGGGACAAGGCGGAGCTGCTCCGCAAGGCGGCGGCCGCCATCTGGCAGGACATGTGCTCCGGTGCCGCGCTCGCCGAGCCGCACCGCCTCTGCCGCTTCCTCCTCCTCACCTTCGCAGACCTCAAGACGCACAAGTACTACTACTGGTTCGCCTTCCCCGCCTTTGCACTCGACCCTCCTCCGCGGGCCACGCCGCCGGCGCCGCTGGCGTCGCTGCTCGACGCTTCGCAGCTGGACGCTCTGAGGCGGGGGTACGCGGCGCTTCCCGCCTCAGCCCACGGCCGGCCCGCCTTCTTTGCTGTGCGGCTGTCGTGCGGGTCGGCGGGCGAGCCGGTGCAGGTGGCCGGTGCCGGTAGGCGAGAGTAGTCCAATCAGCAGCTCACTCGTGGGAGAGTTGGCTCGGCGTGTCGATGCACAGGTGGCCGAGGTCGGCCCGCTCAGCCGCTGGCTCGAGTGGCGCGGCGGCGCGGGCGGGCGCGAGCAGGCGTGGATCGCGCTCTGCGACCCGAGCCCGCAGCACGCTGGCTGGCCGGCGAGGAACCTGCTTCTCGCCGCAGCAGCCGCACTTCGCGAGGCGAGCCCGGCCGCCGCTGCCGGCCTGCCCTCGGAGGTGCGGCTGACCCTCCTCTGCTTCCGCGAGCCGGTCGGCGGCGGAGGGCCGCCGCCGGCGGCGGCGGGCGAGGGGCCGCGCGAGCCGAAGTCCGCCGCCGCCTCGACGCTGTACAACGTGACGATGGACGTGCGCGGCTTGTTTGGCGGCGGCGGCGGCGGCGGCGGCGGGACGGCGGCGCCTCCCTCCGCGGTCGGGTGGGAGAAGAACTCGTCGGGCCGGCCCGGCGCGCGGCTGATGGACCTGTCGGCGCAGATGGACCCGGCAGCGACCGCCGCGGCGGCGGTCGACCTCAACATCCGGCTCATGCGGTGGCGGCTCATGCCGGCGCTCGAGCCGGAGAAGGTCGCGGCGCAGAGGTGCTTGCTCATCGGCGCAGGCACGCTGGGCTGTGCCGTGGCCCGCTGCCTTCTCGGCTGGGGCGTCAAGGCGATCACGCTCGTTGACTCGGGCGGCGTCCTGGACTCGAACCGGCTCTTCTAGGAGCGTTCTAGGAGCCTGCTAGGAGCCTTCTAGGCAATGTCTCGTACTCGAACCCCGTCCGCCAGTCACTCTTCGCCCACAAGGACTGCATCGGCGGGAAGACGAAGAAGGCGCCCGCCGCCGCCGAAGAGCTGCGCCGCATCTTTCCGGGCGCTGAGGCGCGCGGCGTGGTGATGGGTATCCCTATGCCGGGCCACCCGGTCGGCGCGGCGGAGGTGGACGGAGTGCGCGCGGACGCAGAGGCGCTCGTCGCGCTGTGCAGCGGCGTGGACATCGAGCTGCGTCGAGATTGACCGAGATTGACCGAGATTGACCGAGATTAGGCGCTCGACGAGCTGGTGCAGCAGCATGACATTGTCTTTCTCCTCACAGACACGCGCGAGTCGCGCTGGCCAGCCGCGCTCCTCGCCGCTTGCTCCTGCCCAACCAGCCAGTTGAGAGCTGCTTCGTTTGATCTCCTCAGGCTGCCCACTTTGCTCGCCGCCGCACGGCGCAAGCTGGCCGTCACCGCGGCGCTCGGCTTCGACACGTTCCTCGTCATGCGGCACGGCCTCCCCCCGCCGGCGGAGGAGGCGGCGGCGCTAGGCGCAGGCGGGCTGCCAGCTGGGTATGAGCAGGCAGCGCCGGCGGAGGCGGCGGCGCCGCCTCCGCCTCCGCCGCCGCGGCCGCGGCTCGGCTGCTACTTTTGCAGCGACGTCGTCGCTCCTGCCAACTCGATGACTCGCCGCACTCTCGACCAGCAGTGCACGGTGTCCCGGCCCGGCCTCGCGATGGTTGCGAGCGCGCTCGCCGTCGAGCTCGCCGTGACGGTGCTCCACCACCAGCACGGCGCCGAGGCGGACGCGGACGTGCCCGCCGAGGCGGCGCGGGCCGCCACTTGCGACGAGTCGCCGCTGGGCGTGGTGCCGCACCAGATCCGAGGCGCGCTCTCCTTCTTCCGGACAGATTGCATGCTTGGCCGCGCGTTTGGCAAGTGCACCGCGTGTTCGGCCACCGTCACCGACGCGTACGCCGCGCGCGGCTTCGACTTCCTTCTCGACGCGTTCAACGGAGGCGGGGGAGTGGTGTCTCGCACGAGTCGGGGATCACCCCGAGACGACCCGAGGTTGGACCGAGACTAGGCGACTACCTCGAGGAGCTCACGGGGCTGGCGCAGATGCACCGCGAGGCGGCGGCCGCGGTCGAGCGCAGCGCCAAACATCAGCTATCAGACTCACGCCTCCTCTCCTCGTCAGGCGGAGGCTGCGCTCGAGGACGTCGGCTTCTTCGAGGACGACGAGGACGAGGCGATGAGCGAGTGACGGGGCGCTACACGGTTCGGCGTGCTGGCACCGGGCCTGAGAGAACGCGCGCTCAGGATGGCCCACGCAAGGTAAGGGGGGGGCGTGAGGCGCTCTCGAGCTGAGAGCTGATTGAGAGCCTACCCCTCTGAGCATGCCACGTGTGCGCAGACGGGGGCGGATCTGGAGGCTTCAGTGAGGGAGGCCGGTAGCCAGCACAGTTTCCGGAGAATTCTCCGCTCTCCCGCATCCAGACCCAGTGAAGCCAGCGTCGCGATCCAAGTCCCGATGCGGAGAAAGGTACAGAGCTGGTGCGGGGCCTTTTCGAGGTACTTTTGTATAATATATTCGTTCGCGAGCGCTAGAGGAAACGCTCATTATTTACGCATTACAGCAACCACACGTCACACGTACCTGTACGTGGCTGGGTCCACAGCGATTGTAGGTTTTTAACGTATAACGACGCCACCGGAGACGTGTGGGGATTGGGTGTACAACTCTCTCGGCTATTGGTTGGCATGCGGGGGGTTGAGGTGTGAGAGTAAGAGAGAAAGTTCTGCGTTCGTCCTGCAACCTCCACGACGCTCGCTCCGAGTCCCCCTTTCGACACTACCCGAGAGCCGGAGAGCTCCCCCGAGGAGTGAGACGAGACACAGCAGATCTGACAGAGCGCCGCTATAGAGTACGCGTCCTCTTCCGTTCTTGCTTCCTTCACGGGGTGGGCGCACGCACGCGTAGCACACTCAGGCGAGGGACTTCAGCACACTCCACGCGCCGTGGGCGATCACGGCACCTATCTTGCAAGACGGCCGAAGACTACGACCGATACCCGCCTATGCCGGGGTGGCCGGGGCAACCTCCGGCTCGAAGCGCACGGGGCCAACGTAGAAGTATGTCGGCTCCGGCGGCCCAGGCCACTCATCGAAGTTGAAGACGCTGACCGAACCGCCGGGGCAAACGCCGCCCCCCACATACGTCCCCCAGTCCGACTGGCACGGCGTCCTCATGATACCAGGAAGAAAAGTCGTCGGAGCAGTAGCCCCAGGTTGAGTTGCCCGTGTCGCCCCCTGTCAATGGAGGCCGGGAGTATCAAGAGAGGCAAGAGGGATTACTCGGAGGCACGATAAAGGGCTCACGCACATGGCGGGTAGAGCGGCGAATCCGACACGCAACCGCTGGTCTGCAGTATCTGCAGTATCTGCAGTATCTGCAGTATCTGCAGTATCTGCAGTATCCGCGTACAAGCGGCGAAGTCTGTGGTATTGAAGTATGCATACTTTGCCATACTTCGACACTTGTATGTGGGAGGTATGGCAGTATTGTGCCGCCTCTCTCGCAGTATTGCAGTACGAGGAGGCCGGACGCCGGTATCCGGGTACCGGGCGCACTGGGCACTGCTACAGCAGTACGGATACCTGGCCCTACCACAGTGTGAGTCCTTGTCAGGTATGGCAGTATGGCGCTGACTTCCTAATGTACCCCAGTATAGCCAGCCATTTGTGGCGTACGGATACTTTATACCCTACTTGGCTCTGTCCCCTGAGGTCCCACACCCGACGCTAGCCACTTCGCCGGACCCGGTATGCGTATGGTAAATCGGCTGGAAGCCGGTTGTGGCTAGCAATCCCCTTATTTTATGTATGTAAAAGAGGGAACCAGTCGAGAGGAAAGGGGGGGGACGTGTCCGAGGGGGGGACAGCTCGGTTGGATATAACTGGCATGACGCACCGTACGGCAAGGAGCTCGGCTTTGCGGCGGCGGAGGCCTGCGCTTTGCACCGGCTCCCGACGCCTTGCGAGGACCTCACGGCCTTCCTTCCGGCCTGACCTCAAACGCTCACCCGCCGTTTCGTGCGCGCAACCCGCTGAGTTGCCAGGAACGGCAACTGGAGTCCGTTCTGACTAGTACATGTAACACGTTCTGGCCCTCGCCATTCTGATCATTCCTAGAACACCCTCGGACCGACCCAGGTGGCCGGCCGGGTAAAACCCGGGTATACCCGAGAATTCTCAGGTATACCCGAAAAATACCCGGAGCGCGCCCCGGCCCTGGATGTGAGGTTAATGACTGCACTCCAAGTGCTCCAAGTGCGCGCGTCGCTATGGCGCCCTATCCCACAGGCACGTGCGCCAACTGCACCAACCCCACGGTGTGCTCAAGTATGCGCGCCGCACCATGTGTACCCGCTACAAATGCCAGAAGGCGGCCCGCGTGGCGCGCCTCGCCGACGGCGGAGGAGACGACGCGGTCGTGCCGACATACTGCTTCGAGATCAAGCAGGTGATTGGCATGCGCTTCGCCGACCCTGAGCGGCTCGTCGGGAAGAAGCGGCGCAACGAGCTGGCCGCGGCGGAGACGGTTTGATTGTGGAAACACCGAATCTGTGCACCCCTTATTCAGTTGTGAGAGGAGGAGCACTGGTATACGAAGAGGTTCGTTCAAAAAATAAATCTGGAGCGAGCTGGAAATACCTGAAAAAGAGAAAAATGCCCTCCAACCCAACCCCGGCCGCCAGAGGACCGGGGGCGCCGCCCGCCCGCCGGAGGACAACCTAACTGTACCCCCCGGGGGCGGCGATGTCGTTCGAGCGACGCGTCGTGAACCTGCTGCTCCATGTGCTGGCCATGCTCCTCGTCCCGGCCGTACTGGCCGAAGAGGCCCCAGAGAAGCGACCCTGCTGCCGCAGCGCGTGCGCGCTCAAGCATTTTAAGATGGTGCCTGCGTTGGCGGCATTTCTGGGCCGCTTGGGCAACGAGAGCGTGGCCGACCTCGGCAGCGTGGTACCGCTCACGCGAGCCCACCTGCAAGCCCAGGTCACGCACGTCGTTGCTGATGAGATCCCCAAAACCCCAAAACCCCAAAACCCCGTATATGTGGATTCAATTCATTTATTTGATTTCAATGTATGTAGTAGGTCAACTCCAGTTTGAGTCTCACTGGAGAAGCTTGTAAGTGTACTTTCTCATGAAATCGTCCTTCATGATGTCGTACTCCTCGAACTCGTTGTTTTCTTTGGCATCGCGGAAGGAACCATAAGTGTGCTTCAGGATTCTGGCGTCACCACTCTTTTTCATGGAGTAGTAGTGCACAAGGTTGTTCCAGGTGGTCTTGCTCCCGTCTGAGATGGCCTTGTTTGCATCACTGACTCCCATGGAAAAGGCCTTGTCGATGTCCTTCTCCTTTAAGTTGAGTGGGTACATGCTGCTTCTGATGGGGAAATGACGTATCTGAAGTTGACACCTTTGTATGCGAACTGAGCTCTGAGAAGGCGATCCATGGAGTTGTAGAACGACGAAATTTCAAGGTATCTGAAGAGCATGCCGATGGACTGGTAGTCTTCAGCTTCAACTTGCTTGGGGTTGGCAGATGAAGTCAACACCACATCAACAACGATGTCTTCATTCTTGAAACCCTTGTCAGAGCATCGGTTGATAGCTGAGAAAATGTCAATGTCCCACACAGCAGACCCATCAAAGTAGTAGGCTGAGCCGAGAACCTCAGCAGGAGGGAAGAAGCCAGCGAAGGACATGGAGGCATAAAGAGCATCGATCAGGTTGTCGCCATGGGTGATGTTCAAGTCTGAGAAGTCCTTGTAGTCACCGTTGATTACGTCAACAATTCCAATGTCAAGGTTTCGGTGCATTTGAACTCCTTTGAATTGAGACTTCAGGAAGTCTTCCATGGGGGCAGAGTTGTAGAGTCCACCCTCAAAGAAGAGACCTTTAGCGATTCCTCCGAACCAGTTCTTGTAGAGTTGGGAATGAGTGGCAGCCTTCCAGAACTCTTCCATTCTTTCAGCAGCTTGTTGCTCCTGCCCTTTCTCGAAGGATGAAAGAAGAACTGCATTGAGTGCTCCACCCGAAACACCGGAGACTGAATCGTAAGCGTAGTCAGATGGGGAGAGCTTTGGGTTGGTTGTGATGCCCTTCAAAACACCAGCCTGGTAGGCGGCATCCTCATCTCCGGAGCTGAAGGCGATAGCGTGGCACTTGCCAGTTGCTTCTGGCTGCTCAAAAATTTCATCAGCAGAGATGCCTGCCAAGAGAGTCAAAACAAGTTTCTTGAACATAAGTAACTATATTTTATTTATTATTTAATAATAGCCTGAGACTGGGGTTTTGGGGGTTTGGGGGTTTGGGGTTTGGGGGTTTTGGGGTTTGGGGGATGTGGGGCGGGGAGGCGGGGCAGGGCTGCGTGCGCTGCGCCTGGGTTGCGGATGGTCGGCGTTGCGGAGATGATTGCGTCGGTGCACGACTCTGACAGGTGGCGGCGGCCGTCCTCGTGCGGGTGGTTGTGGCAGCATGGCAGATCGGGACGGTCTGCGCAAGTGCTGCAAATGGCCTCCGCGGCGGCTGACGGCAAGCGTTTGCCGTAGTCGGAAGGCGGGTCCAGGTGCCCGGACGTCGCCTCCGCCGAGAGGCCGCACGTCACAGGGCAAGTCTTCTTCACTTCGTCGACGCACGCCTTGTCGCACGCTGCGTTGGCCAAGCCGCAGAGGCTAAATCCTTTCGCTTGCTCGCACGTCGGGACGAAGCCGGCCTCGCACGGCGTCAGAGACGGGGCGAAGATGGGCTCGCGCGCTTTCGGAGTGATGTTCGAGGAGTCGAAGACCTAGTACGAAACAATAAGTTTGATGAGGATCGACCTACCTACCACAACCCGGGCTTGGGTAGCTTCAAACTCACCGGGATCGCGGCCGCGTCGGGCACCGAGTCGAGGAGCTCGGAGCCGTACGGAGAGAGGGCAAAGGCCGAGCAGCCCAGACCGAGCACCACGATTGAGAAGACGATGCACAGCAGCTTGGACGAGCAGAGCTTGCCGAAGCCAAAGCCGGAGCGGAAGCCGAAGCCGAAGCCGAAGGGCGTCGGGGTCGGCTCGGGCGAGACGGACTCGCACTGTGGCGCGGCGTGTGGTCAAGCAAAGGTGGGTCTACACTGTAAGAAAGAGAGGGCGCGCACACACACAACACACACACACACACCGAGGACTGCTTGCCCAACTCCGCGCCCTTCTTCTTACCCTTCTCGTCCTCGTCCTTGTCGATCTCCGCAGCGGCGTTCGTCTCGACGTCGTCGAGCGGATCGTACTTGTTGGAGACCTTCGTGTACTTGACCTCGCCCTTGCGCCCGTTGTTGCGGCGTGGGTTCGACGGGGTCGTCCAGTCGGTGATGCCCTGTGCACGCGCAATAAGTGGCGGCGTCAATATTTGGGCGCTGGCTCCGCGACCGCCGCGTCCGTGGCGCTCACCGCCGGGGCGGGCGTCTCCGCAGGAAACTCCTTGATGGACGGCGGTCGCTCGCCGCTGCCATCGACCGGCTTGGCAGCCGGGTCGTTCTTGATGACCGGCTCGAGAGCCGGGTCGTCCTTGGACTGGATGCCGTCCTCGAGCGAAGCGGACTCGCCCTTGGACTGGCCCGCCAGCGACGCCTGTGACAGCCAGAAGGCGAGAGAGACTAGCCAAAAATCTCGGGCAATCCCGGCTAATCTCCACCCTACCCACTACTGCGGCGTATGGCTGCGCGTTACTGAATACTGCAGATCTGCAGACTATTGCGGATCACTACTGCATATTACTAGTTACTGCAGCACTGCTGACTACTGTGCTCTGTGAAGTACTGCGGAGTGCTGCGGACTACTAAAGCTCACCACCGGGGCGGGCGTCTCCGCAGGAAACTCCTTGATGGACGGCGGTGGCTCGCCGCTGCCATCGACCGGCTTGGCAGCCGGGTCGTTCTTGATGACCGGCTCGAGAGCGGGGTCGTCTTCGGTGACGCCGGTGTGGGCCGTCGGTGGGTTGGTCGGGCGCGCGAGCTTGACCCAGAAAACGGCGCTCGCGCTCGGCTCGTGGGCGGCAAACACGGAGATGGCCGCGTCCGAGTCGACTGTGTCCGCGGCCAGCTCCGGCTCCGCCGCCGCCGCGGCCGAGTCAACGCTAGCGTTCTTGGCGACGCTCGTGTAGTCCGAGAGCGAAGGGGGGGTGGGCGAGACGGCGTCATCGGCGCCGGTGTCGACCGCGGCCGCGTTCGCGGCGAGGGCGTCCTATGGATTGGGGAAGGGGCGGGTGCAGTGGTGTGGGTCTCGGCGTCCGAGTCGACCGTGTCCGCGGCCGACGCCTTTGCCTCGGCCAGGTCCTTCTTGAGGGCGCCCTCGCCGAGCACCGCCGCAGCGGTGCCGCCCGAGAATGGGACGCCCTTGGCGCCGCACGCCTGTGGATGAGGGAGAAGGGGAGCATGACATGGGAGGCGGTTGGAGGATCTGCGACATGCACGCACACCGCCGTAGCTCCGAGGAGCGATGGCGACTTCGGCGCGGAGATGACGACCTCAATGCTGCCGTCTTTGGCCGGCACGGTGCCGACCTTCACTGTCGTCTGTTTCTCGGACATGATGTTGATCGAATTCACTCGTACCTACGACGGGTGCATCTCGGGCAATCTCGGCTGGAGACTGCAGACTACTGCAGAGTACTACCGCATTACTACTGGTTACTGGAGACTGTGCAGAGCACTACTATCATTACTGGAGACTGTGCAGAGCACCACTATTATTAATTACTGGAGACTGTGCAGAGCGCTACTGTGCAGAGCACCACTATTATTATTACTGGAGACTGTGCAGAGCACTACTGTGCACAGCAGCACTATTAATAATTACTGGAGACTGTGCAGAGCACTACTGTGCAGAGCACCACTGTTATTATTACTGGAGACTGTGCAGAGCACTACTATCATTAATGGGGACTGGAGACTGTGCAGAGTACTATTACTGGGGACTGGACACTATTACTGGTTACTGCAGACCCTGCGCATTACTGGGTACTGCAGAACTGCGGAACTACGGACTACTGCGCACTATTACTGGTTACTGGAGACTGTGCAGAGTACTACCGCGCATTATTACTGGTCTCCTGCAGTGTGTTGCTGCGGCCTACTGCGGAACTACCGACTACCGCGACTGATTACTGGTTACTGCAGAAAACTGCGCACGTATCTCATCTCTCTGCGAGTGAGGACTAACGCGGCGAGGCTGAGATTTTGCCGCACCTATGGGCAGCAAAACACGGCGTCAGCTCGCGTCTCGATGAGCATCGGCACGCCCCTTCGCTGCTATGGCTCTCGGACTGTAGCCGGGCGACGCTCGCGCGAGAGCGGGACGGGCTAGAGGGCAGAGAGGAGGAGGCGGGCTGCGCGGGACCCACAGCGTGCAGCTCGCGAGCGCCACCACAACGAGGTGCGGAAGTGCCATGCTCATCCCGGGCAATCACGGGCAATCTCGCTCGGCTGGTTGCTCGGCTGATTGCAGCGCATCGTGTTTGGCCGCATCAAGTGCTGCTGAGAGCGATCTTTGAGGGGGAATGGAGAGAATGGGGGGCTCAGGAGGGCCGCGCCTACTCGCAGCGTTCAAGCTCGAGGCAGCTCGCAAGATGCCGCGGCGGCTCCCCCTCGCTCACGTTGTTTGGATCTGCGGGGGCGCAGGCGACGGCGAGCGAGCGTCAGTAGCATAAAATGGGATGCGCGTGTGCGGGCTAACGCGGGGCAAGGGTGGCGAATGGACAGCAGCGGACGCGTCTCGCGGCTCCTCAATGGCAGCGGCACCTGCGAGCGGGAGGGAGCAGGCGGTGCGAGGCCGAGGGGCGCCGTCGGGCGGCGAGCGAGAGCGCATCGCACGGCGGGAGCGGTGCGGGCGGGGTGGGTTTCGTGAGCAATAGGTGTCGCGGGGATCCAGGCGTGTAGCTTGCGGCTTCATCGGAGGCGCGGTTCGGCGGGGCAAGCGCGAGAGGCAGCGGAAAGTGCAAAACTGTGCAAAACTGCCTCGATGGAGTTCAGGGGATCAAACGAGGCGTGTGTGTCGGGGTTTGCTTACGATGTGGGGATGGGAATGCTGACCCCCTCCCTAGCAAGTTATGGCGCCTCAAACAAAGGTATGGCAGGTGGAGTGCTCTCTACACTTCGGCCGCGCCACGACACGGCGTAGCCAAAGTTCAAAGTACTTTGGCTGAGTACCTCAGGGTACCTATGTAAAATTCTTTTCCCGTGGCAAATGCACAAGAGTGTGGATCTCGTGCGTGAGTGAGTGCAAAGCGGGCCGGGGCAATCAGAGTGTCTCTGAGACGGAGGGGATCTCGAGGGGAGGACCTCCGCAGTGAGGACCTCTCTCTCCGCTGTGAGGACCTCTGAGCTTTGTGGCCCGTCTCCACACAGAGCGTAGCTACCGCTGCTGCCCACCCCAAAAGGCGAGCAAGCAGCACTCCCAACAACAGCGGGTGTACCTGTGTTAGTGCCAGTGCGCGCCAGTCCCGTGCCCCCGAGTTCATTTCAAAAAAATAAAGAAAGAAAGAAAGAAAACAGACAACCCAAGGGAGGGATGGGAGGTGTCGTGCGAGGGAGGTTTCCAAAATTCTTTTTCGTGCGACCGCGTTTTGTGGATAGAGCTGTTAGTAGAGCGTGCTTCGTCGTCGTCCGAAAACAGACAACCCAAGGGAGGGATGGGAGGTGTCGTGCGAGGCCACATGTTCCAAAAATTCTTTTTGAAAGAAAGAAAGAAAAGAGACAACCTCCTGCACGAGCAGGATTTTGGAAGGACGATCAGGGGGACAGGTGGGCTCTCCTGCTCCTGAAAACGATATTTTTCTGAGGTGCGAAAATTCTTGTGTTGTTTAAATTCTTTTTCTGAGAGACTCGCTGCGAAGAGCTGCTGCAAGTGTCCGAAAATGCTGGCCATCGCCACTGCGAGCTGCGCCTTCTCGATGATGCGCCCAGCGCTGAGCATGGAGGCGAGCAGTCCAAGCGGTCAGCGCCGAGGGACGCCGCTGCTGCTTGGCGAGGAGGACGACGAAAGCCCGCCCGACGAGTCGTTGGACGAGGCCTTCGAGGCTGGTCGCTCTTTCGGCTTCACTGTCCGGGAGCGCTTCACCGCACCTACGGTCGACGACCCTGGCCTCCCATACGCAGACGCGCTCGTCTCTGTGTCGGCCGCGCTGGGACTGGCCTCGCTCCGCCTCTCCGGCATCTACCCTCAGTGTTCCTGGCTGCAGCCGACCGAGTGGGTGCCGCACGTCCGGTCGCTGCCATACGTGCTCCCTGCGCTGACGCACGGCGTCCAGCTGGCGAGCTGCTGGACGCTCGGCGCGCTCGCCGCCAGCGCCTTTGAGCGTGATGCCTTCTGCGGCTCGCTGGGCGAGGCGCTGCGGCGGACCTGGCGGGGCGGCGCCTTTGCGTCGGGACTGCTGCTGCTGTGCACCCAGGCGCACACTTATTACGCCTTTGATGCGGCGGGCCTCGAGCCCGTGCTCGGCGCCAGCTTCGAGGGCGACGTGCGGCTGATCAACATCGCCAACGACGTCATCCTCGACGTCCTCGCCCAGGCCTTTGCAATCACAGGCTTTCGCATCTTTCGGTGGTATGATGCGACTGCGGGCAGGCGATGACCCAGGCGAGCTTTCCCGGACGAACTCCGCACAGTAGAGGTCGTCCACATCTGCGCCACCGTCATTCTCCGATAAAGTAAGGTATCTCCAGCTCCAGTGCGGGTACGCGTACGAGGTGTGGAGGGTGAGTTGACCAGGGGGTTGTGCGCCGGACCCTCCTGCTCGGCTCCAGCCGGTAGACCAGTCTTGTCATCAACAGAGTAGATGGATCTGACCTCGGGGCCGATGTGACCAAGCGCTGGTAGCGTGGTTTGACCTCACACCCATGGTCTCACAGTGTGCCGGCAGTCGCCGAGCAGTGTCGCTCACACCTGTCCTCACACACAGGCTGACAACACAGGTCACACAAGCCGCTGAAGGAAGACTGCTTGCTGACCGCTGAACAACAAGAGAGAGAGAAGTAACAACAGTAACAAACAGTAACAGCTGGGGCGAGACGATCGAGGGGTCTCGGACCAGGCGGAATCGACCCGATCCCAGTGCAACAGTGCAACAGTGCTCGAGGAACGGCGAGGTGGCCCGAAAGCGGGCTTTTACGTGTTGACCAGCGCCCGGCGACGACGGTCGACGGCTCATGAGCCGTGCCTGCCGTGTGCAAGCCCCCGACAATGTATCACTGCTTGGCCTTCGCTCTCCCGGGGCGCAGGCTCTTCGAGGCGACAACGATTGAGGGTACAGTCCCCGCCGTTCTTGGAACACCATGCTCGGGCGATTGCGAATCCGACCCGAGCGCAGCGGCATGCGCAACCTGCTGCCGAGCGCAGCGGCACGAGATCGATTGGCAGTGCAGTGGCGAGCACCCTGCTGAATGCTGCTTGGGTGGGTGGAGCGACGCGTGCTGGAACGTGGCGTCAGGCGCAAACAATGGTCACCCCTGCAACCAGTGCATGGATGGTGCTCCCATTTCCTTTTTGGGAGAGTCCTGCCCCACCTCTGTCGGCGACCCAATCACGACTTACAATGGCGTGTCAACGCGTTACTGGCTGCCAGAAGGGACAGAGCTCGAGCTCTTCCGGCTGGATGACATCGCTGTGATGGGAACTGCCAGTCGCACACCCGGCTACGACTCTGCAAAGGGCGAGTGGCTTCACGTCCTGCGCATCACCAGAGCGGGAGAGGCCACCCTCACAGTTGCTGTCAACCACACCGCCAACCTCACCGCTCTCAGCACCGCTCTCAACAAGACCACGCTGGCTGCACTTGCCGTCCGCGTTGGCGACGCCCCGCTGACGGGCGTCGGCAAGCAGAGATATGGGAACGTCGCGGTTGTGGCTGCCATTGACTCGCGGCAGGGAGGTATCCCCATCGAGCTGATCCACGTCACTGTGGGTGACCAGCTAGGGCTCGTGATTCGTTCGTCGGTGGCCCGCAAGTTTGCAGACCGGGCGGAACAGGCCAGGCATGTCCATCTTGATCTTGCTTGGACGCACATTGCGCGCGAAGAGGATGCGCGTGGCACGCTGCCCGAGATCTGGGGCCTGGCGCCCATGTCCGCTGCCACCGAGGGCATGCTGATCAACCCAGAGACGAGACGCCGGGAGGAGCCGCGCCGCCTCAGTGAGGAGGACTGCCTACCAATGCTCGGGTGCTCGAACACCTTCGGCCAGTTTGGCGCCAGCAGCTGCGCGCAAACGAGCGATTGCTGCAACCCCATGGCGCGGTGCATCAGTTCAATGTGCCATCTGTAAGAAGAGCTCGTCGCCATCGTTGTGAGATCTCCGACTCCCGTCTTTGTTTTTGATTTCACTCCAAGTTTTTTTTTGAGCTAGACTTCGTTGTTAATAGGAACAAGCGAAGGCACACACACGACATGACGCCAAACACACGATTTCACGCACCGCACCGCACCTCGCACCCGCACCCGCCGCCCCCCCGCCCCCTGCCCCGCCTAGGTGGGAAAGAGATGAGGAGATGGGACAGCGAAGGAGGAGCCACGAACACGTATGGGAGGGTTTTCAGTTGTGCGTCACGCTGCCCGGCGTCTCTCACTTTCCGGGACAGCCCCGCCCTTGTGAGGCAGGAGGGTGTGACGACTACCCCGTACGCCCTGTTGCTTCTACCCCGACGCCGACCGCCCATTCCCCCCTCCTCGATCCCCCCTCGGCGAGCCGATGATCGTCGAGCCTCTGTCCTGCGCGCCCAGCCCCCCTCCCCCCCCCCCTCCACCACACACACACACACACCGCCGCCGCGCGAGCGCCGCGCGGCGGCACACCCAGCTCAAAAGAAAAAGAAAAAGGGAATGAGGAGACCAGCGAGGGAGACTCCCCGCCTATGCAAGCCCCAGAGAGGGGCCGCCATCGCCGAAGCTGTGCCAAAGCATAACTCCAAAACCCGCAGCGGCCCAGGGGGCCTTGGGGGCAGCCCGCCGGACCGCCGCTGCACGGGACTAGGCAACAGAAGATGAGTGGAATTGATGAATTGGGCCGTTGTCCGGGCCGCCTCTATTGAGCAAACGTAAGCGTAAGATCCGTCGCGTGAGCGGCAGCACTTCTTTGGCAACACCGGGCTTGGACGCCACCGCGTCCACGTCCACCCTCCCCTTCGAGCGCATAGCCCGGCCGCAAGGCCGACGCAGCGTCGATGGGCAAGCAACAAGACCGGAGCTCCACCCCGCCGGCCGATGGGCCACCGCCCCTCGGCAGGCATGACGGGGTGGAGCCCAATGCACCCTGGAGCACGCAGGCAACGCCCACTATCGCGGGCACGCCTTCACCCTCCAGGAGGGGCGCGGACCCCGGCACGGCGGCTCATCTCGTGGGGGCCGCCGGCTATCCGGCCGACCCGCGCCCACCCTCAGGCTCACTGCTCAACGGAGGCGCCGGCGAACACCGCCCGGCGCCTTGGCAGAGGGTCCATGACCTCCCCCGCGACAGCTCCGCGGCTCACCAGTGTGCGCCGCGGCGCCGTCCAGCCACTTTGGCGGCCAGCCACCGGTCGAGCTCTTCGACTCTGGAGGACAGAAAGGTACCGTCTGAAAGGTATTTTCATGCTCTATTGACTGGCGAAAAAATCCCCCGCCAACTGTTTTCACAGCATGAGCGAAGCATCGGGTCGGCCCCCAAGAGGATAGGCCCCGGACCGACGGCTTGGGCACGCTGTCCGCCCGATGAAGTCGGTGTCGTCTCACCCGGTGCTTACCACGCCCTTCATAGAGGTGGAAGAGCGCCCGAAGCTCGTGCGACGGCGCACGACCACGGACTGCCTCTTCACCGAGCTCACACACTCGCCGCTGCACGACCTGGCACCGGTCGCCACTCTGGGCCTCACGACGCGTGTGACGCACTCCAACTCGGTGGCGGTCTCGCTCGACCAGCTGGGCCTCGCATTCGAGCCGCAGCGAGATAGTACACTCATCCTCGTGCAGGGAGGCTACACAGCTGCGCTCGTTAAGGCAGCCGGGACGGCGGTCCTGTGCGCCCTCATGTATGGTTTCCATCTCGGCAACATGAACCCAGCGGCGCCGGCGATGCGTGCCGACCTCGGGATCGAGGCCGGCGTAGAGAACGACAACGCCTGGGCCTTTTGCGTGTCCATCTTTTGCCTCGGCGCGCCGCCTGCGCCGCCGATCCGCCGCCACCTGCGCCGCCGACCCGCCTGCCGGCCGCTTCGCGGCCCGCCCCTCCGCTGCCCTCCGCCCCGCGCGGTCTGCCCGCCCGCCGTCCCCTCCCGCTGGCGCGGAGCCGGGGGCGGGACGTGGACGGAGGGGGGCAGTGCCGTCCCCTTCTCTTGTCTGCAGGTGCGCTGCTCGGCTGCTCGCTGGTTCCGATGGTGGCAGACTCGATCGGCAGGCCGAGAGGCGGCCATCTCTCGGCCTGCCTGCACCAGCGAGTGAGTCCGTCTCCTGCCCTCCGTCGCAGGCGCAAGACCATCTTGCTCATCTCGACGGTCTACCTGCTCGGGTCTGCTCTCGAGGCTGCGTCGGGCGTGGTCCCTCGCCCCGCCAGCCCGCTCGAGCGCTCCTCCATCGGCCTCTGCCTCCTCCTCGCCGGCCGAGCGGTCTGCGGCGTCGCGAGCGGCTCGTCGACAGTCGTCGTGCCTATGTACCTCGGCGAGCACGCCGGAGATCACCCGACATCACTCGAGATCACTCGAGACCACTCGAGATCACTCGAGATCACTCGAGATCACTCGAGATCACCCGACATCACCCGACATCACCAGAGATCACCCGAGATCACTGCCTCTGACTAGGCGAGATCTCGCCGCCGCACTTGCGCGGCGCGCTGGGCACATGCTTCCAGCTCACTTGCTGCACAGGCGGGTTGGCAGATCGTCGGCTTGCTTGCCCGAGATCACCCGAGATCACCCGAGATCACCCGAGATGACCCGAGATTAGGCATCCTCCTCGCGCAGATCGTCGGCTTGCCAGCGCTCCTCGGCAGGAGCGGCCTCTGGTCCGCCTACCTTGCCCTCGGCGCCCTGCCCGCCGCGTCGCTCTTGGCGCTGCTCCGCTCTCCTTTGCTCGAGAGGCCGCGCTGTGTGCACGGCGTCTCTTCACGCGCACAGCCGTGAACAGGTGCTCCACTCCTTCTTGCTTGAGAGCCCGCGCTGGCTCGCCGGCCGCTCCGACGCCGAGGCGATCCGGGCGGAGGCAACCCTCGCACACGCCGACCCATTCATTCTTACCGATCGGCTGTTGCGTCGTAGGCGATCCGGGCACAGGCGATCCTTCGCCCGCGCCGCGCGCCGCCAGAGGTTGAGTTTTCCCCGAACTTTTCCCGAGGCCGGCGCTGCTTTAGGCGACCCTCGCCGCGCTTGCGCGCCCTAGCCGCTCCTGATGCTCCACTTCACTGTCCCTCACTCCATCAACAGGCGATCCTGGCCGCGTTGCGCGGCGAGCCGCTCTCGTCGCTCGCGGTGGTGCAGGCGGTTTGGCGGAGACGGAGACGGGACGGGCAGCTCGGCGAGAGGGGGGTGAGTTCGTCACTGCTCCGTGCTGCGGCGGTCTGCAGGAGCTCGACCTGATGCAGATGGCGGCGGGTCCGATCGCGGGCGGAGGCGGCGACAGCGGCGGGTCCTGCCTCGCCGCTCCCCGGGCCCTTCCCCGAACCTTCTCGGAGCCTTCCCCCGCGCAGGCGGCGACGGCGGCGGCCTTCGCTCGCTGCTGTCGGATAGCGTGGCGCGCCGAGGCCTCTTCATTTGCGTGACGTGCCACGTGTGCCAGCAGTTCTCTGGCATCAACAACGCGACTGCTCGCGCGTCCGGTCCCGCCCTCCCACACCTCGTGTTGAGGTGTGGCCGGTTGCGGACTGCAGGTCTTCAACTACTCGACCATCTTCCTCACCTCCAACGGGGTCGACGCCGCCACCGTCGTCATCATCTCGGTGCTGATGAACGTGGGCAACGTCGCAATCACGGTCGTGTCTGTCCGGCTGATGGACCTATCGGGCCGCCGCTCGCTGATGCTCGTCTCGTGCGTCGGCATGGCCCTCTCCACCGTCGCCCTCACGAGCTCGCTCTCCTGCCCCGGTCACGGCTGGACCGCTCCACTCGCCATCGCCTCGGTGCGCCTCGCCACGTCTCCGCTGCTGGGAGGTCGTTTCTCGTTCGTCACACCGCTGCTCTTTATGTCACAGGTCGGCGGCGGCCTTGTCAGCCCTTTGTCGGAGCCACTCTCTTCTTGGACCACGCTTGCTTGGTTCCACAGGTGGTCGGCTTCGTCATGTCCTTCGGCGTCGGGCTCGGCCCCGTCCCGTGGCTGCTGCCCGCGGAGCTGTTCGCCCCAGACAGGTGCGCCCTCGGCGCCTCGGTCTCTGCCGGCAGCAACTGGATGGCAAACTTCGTCGTCGGCCAAGCCTTCATGCCGCTCTCCAACGCGCTGAAGTCCGCACCCCCCCCCCCCCCCCTTCCCTTCCCCTTCCAAGTCTGCGCACAACCGTCCGCCTTGTGACGCACGGCGGCCCCTTCGAGCAGGTCCGCTTGTTTCCTCCCCTTCGCCGTGGTCGTCTGTGGCTTCGCCGTGTTTGTCACGAGGACGGTGCCCGAGACCAAGGGCAAGAGCCTCGACCAGATCCTGTTCGAGCTCAGCGCGCACACGCCCCAGGGGCGGCCCACCGTCCTGCGAAAGCCCGGGGGCCGCTTCTGAGCCGCCTCTCAGCCGGCCTCTCGACGCACGGAGGGAGCACGCGGAGAGTGGGCCCGGAGAGTGCGGCTTGCGAGGCTCTCGACTCGCCGGAGAGTACCGTCACACGTTGCTAGTGCAGAGAGGGCTGGATGGAGGTGAGCAGCGAGGCGCTTGCGCGTGTGGGTAGAGATGAGATCTCCGGCACGTGGCCGCGCACTGGAGCTCTGAGGGGGCTCTCGGCACGGCCTCTCTGGGGACTGTGCGACTGGCGTCCGCCCTCTCCAAGTCAAACCCTGTCACACGCAACACGCATATTAGAGACGGCGAGTGCCACATTTTTTGAGTTTCCGCAGGTTCAATCTTCAAACAATCAAAGAAGCACACGGCTGCTCTACGGCTTTTTGCGTTTTAAATTTAATTGGGCTAAGTAGGTAAGGTAAGGTAAACTTCTCCACACACACGAGGTGGTGGGGCAAGGGGGGGCAACCCTCGCGTCTCCACGTCTGACGACAGGAGCCCCACGGCATTCAAAGTGCAAGGCCCAGAGTCGTGCGCGTGGGTGAGCGATGTGTGTGTGTGTGTGTGTGTGTGTGTGTGTGTGTGTCTGTCTGTGTGTGTGTGTGTGTGTGTGTGTGTGTGTGTGTGTGTGTGTGTGTGTGTGTGTGTGTGTGTGTGTGTGTGTGTCACACGTAATTGGACTCTGGAGATGACAGAATCAGAAACTACAGTCACTGGTTGGGTAGTAGTCTAAGTTCTGAGCCTGGAGGCCTAACGGGTCTAAGTGTGGCTAGCCACGCTGGAGTGCTTGCGCGGTCTAAGATCAGCGGGAGCCTCTTACATCGGCTAAGTCGGCCGTGGACGGCCTGGGGCCAAGAGGCTCCCACCGTGATCAACGTACAAACGATACGGCGCAACCCCCAAATTTTCTTCGCCTGCGGCGGGCGATCGATCCTTCTCATGCTCAGCAATCGCCGCCTCAGCGTCCTCCTCTTCCGATTCTCGTTGCTGCTTCTTGAGCGCAATCTTCGGCGACTTCTTCGCCAAACAGTTCTCACAAATAGCCTCAAGCTCAAACAAACGCATGTCAGAGAAGCCTGTGTATGCTGGTCCTCTTTGAACGATCCGCGCGTGAGGTAGCATAGGGCCTTGTTGGCAGCAGCCAGCTTGTTGCGCTGCTTCGTTGCGATGAGCTGATTGGGATCGCAGAAGTGCATGCCAAGCACCGCCACGATCTTGAAGCAGAACACATCGCAACCGCATCGTCCGCACTGCCATCGGCATGCCGCGCCCGCCGCTTCGCCGCAGCCGCCTTAAGGCACGCATAGCGGAAGCATATGGTACGTTGCGCGTACTTGAGCAGGCGTTGCGCGCCGCAAGTAGCGCACTGGCCCTGGGAGAAGGCGATATGGCGTCGTGCGCGGCGCGGCAAACGTTGGTCGGGACGCGTCCAGGTATTTTTCGGGTAAACCTGAAAGCTTTTCAGGTATACCCGGGTTTACCCGGAGTCTAAGTTCATGGCCCCCGACCGTGAGGGTCTAAGTCCGAGCCCGGCTCCGTGCGGGGGCTAAGTTGAGCGCTCGCTCGCTGCAGAGGCTAAGTGTAGAGCGACCCTCTAGCCCTACTACCCAACCATTCTACAGTCTCGCACAATAAAAACGCTAAAACGGCGCTAGCGGCTCGGGCCCCTAGAGGCCTGCGCAGACGAATTCTCGCGATGATACGCGATCAGGTACTCTGGGCAGATGTAGTCGCTCGCGTGGAAGATGACAAACTCGCGGTACCGGTCGTGGCCCGGCCCCTTCTCCGCGATGAGCGAGTGGTAGTGCATCGGCGGCGCCAAGTTGGGCACGGGGGCAAGCTCGCGCACGTTCACGGGGAAGACGCGCTCGTTCGGATCGTCGCAAGACCTCGCCAGCGCTCCCGCGTCCTTGGTCCGGATCGGGTGGCCGAGCGCGACGCGGCACACGAGCGCATAGTGCAAGGCGGTGCCCGGGTGGCGGTACGACCGGCCGTAGAGCCGCTGGTGAAGGTCGCTCGCCGGGTCATAGTTGGCGTCGGCGTCGACGTACTGGTCCGCCTTGCCAAGATCCTCCGCTAGGTATGCGCCATTCCCAAACGCGGCGCCCGCGTGCGTGCCGCTGAAGCGCTCGTTGAGGCCGTTAGCGAGTACGGTGAGCAGCGAGCTCCGTGGGATGCCGTGCAGCAGCAGCACCTCGTTCAGCTCGGTGCGCAGCTGCAGCTTGCCCTGCGCCTCGAGCGCCGCCGCCGTGCTCGAGGTCATCATGTCGCGCCACACCTCGCGCGCGACACCTCCCTTGCGCTTCAGGCAGTCGAGCTCGTCCGACATGCAGCGCGTGCCGCCCTCGACGCGCGCGCTCCGGCGCGGATTCTCTATGCGCCACGCGCAAGCGAGCCGCAGCGAGTCGTACGTGCCCTGCGACGCATCGCGCCCGCGCCCCAACCATGCGCCGTGCGTCGCACTCAGGCCCGAGAGCGCGCGCCACACCGCCGGGTCGCGCCTCTCCGAGAGCGGCCAGAGCGACATGCCGTCATCCGCCGCCAGCTCCTTCTTCGACTTCTGCCGCTTCGAGGGAGGCGGCTGCGACGAGCCCGCGGCCTGCTGCTGCTGCTGCTGCTGCGCCTGAGGCGTTGGCGCCGCCGCGTCGTCCGGAACGTTGACGTGCAGCATCTGCCCGGGGACGACGCCAGCGGGGAGGATGAGCGAGACGTTCCGCCCGTCGGTGTGCACGAAGCTGATCTGCTGCCCGGCGGTCGTGCCCTGCGGCACGACGAGGCTGACGTGCACCGGCATAGCGTCAGTCGGGAGAACAGCCAGAGGCCCCAGCCGGGGCGCCGACCAGGAATGGTAGTGCGCAAAAGAATTCAAGGAACTAAGTCCCTCTGACAACACACAGGTTCGACACAGGTACGACACAGCACCAAAAGAGGCACAGTCGCGGGGGCGCCTACACGAAGGCGTCGAGGTGGGCGAAGGGGGGAGGGCGGCAATCGCCCTCACCCTTACGACGCCCACCCCGGCACTCCCCGTCAACCCACACCTCCCTCTCAAGCGCAATCGCCCTGCGCGCCGCCTCCGCTGCACGCTTGCCCGCCTTCTTCGCCCCGAGGGGCGTGGCCGTGGCACAGGCGTCCTGCGGAGCAGGCTTGCCCCTGTAGAGCCTCTACAACAAACTCTACAGCAAAATCGCGCTCTACATCGCTCTACAGGCGACTCACATCGTCACGCACCGGATGTAGAGCTCTACAGCTCTACAGCGCTCTACATCTCTACAGCTCTACAGCGCTCTACACTCTACATCCTCTACACCCTCCCTCAGCACGCGCGCTCCGGTGGGTGGGTTGAGATCAGGCTGAGATCTGCTCTACTCTCTGTGCAAGGAAGGGGGGCGTCCCGTATTTTCGTATGTGGGGGGGATTTGTTTTGTTTGTTCGTATGTGTAATGAGGCCCAGAGAGAGATCTTGAGACCCAAGGGCCGGATGATGCAGTTGCATTCTCGCCCTTTCCCCGAGTCCTTTCCGTCCCTTCCTTCTGCTGTGCCTAGGAAAAAGAATTCGTGATCGGTCGTGTGTCGCGGGAGAAAGAGGGGGGGGAAATAGGAAAGAAAGGCGGCAGCCGCGCCGCGCCTATAAGATTTTTTTCCCATCGCCCAGGCGCGTGCAGCAGCCAGAGAGCAGCCCGCGCCCCGCCGTGCACCTCTCCACCTCGCAACACAAACTCGGCACGCGCGAACGCCTCTAGGTGCTCCGGCGGCTGCAGCGCGGGCGGTGCGATGAAGTTCCAGCCTGGTGCGGCACGCCCCGCAGCGCGCTGCCTCGCTCTGTGCCTCGCCTCTGGGCACTTGGGGTGGTGTGGTTTTGCTCTGTGCACTGCGGCCGCGCCGCGCCGTTGCCCGCCTGAAGACGCAGCCGTGGGAGTCGCGCGCCTCGCGCTCCTCGCGTCGCGCCCGCTCGCCTCGCCGAGCTGCAGACGCCCGCCCGCCAGCTCGCCTGACGCCGCCGCGTCCCCTCTCCCCCTCCCCAGACGTCAGCTCATCGCGGCGCAAGTCGCGCAAGGCGCACTTCAATGCGTCGTCGTCGCAGCGGCGGATCATTATGAGCTCAGCGCTGTCGAACGAGCTTCGGAAGAAGCACTCTGTGCGCCGCGGCCCTGCGCAGCGCCGGGGCCGGTGGGGCTGGTTGGGGGCGCTGGCAGGAGGGGGCGCGGCGAGCCGCGGCCCGCCGTGCCGACCCGGGGCTGCATCCGACGCGCGCAGGTGCGTTCGATGCCCGTGCGGAAGGATGACGAGGTTTCCGTCGTGCGGGGCACGTACAAGGGGCGCGAGGGCAAGGTGATCCAGTGCTACCGCAAGAAGTGGGTCATCCACATCGACCGCATCACGCGCGAGAAGCAGTCGGGGGCGACGGTGCAGGTGGGCATCCATCCGTCCAAGTGCGTCATCACGAAGCTGAAGCTCGACAAGGACCGCCGCGCCATCCTCGAGCGCAAGGCCCCGTCCAAGGCCAAGAAGGGCAAGTACACGGAGCAGGCGCGCTCCGCCTCTTGCCTCCCTCGCTTCCTGCTCCCCCCCCCCTCCCCACACCGCCTCCTCACGCCTCCTCTGGCACTTCACCCCCCCCCACCCCCCCCCCCCGGCAGGACGCCGCGATGCAGGATGTGGACTGAGCCCGCCCTAGCACCCCCCACAGGGGCCTCAGTGATGCGCTCTCTGTTGTTTTTTGTCTCCGTTTCAAACGACTACTGTAAATCCAAGGTTCTCTTTCCTCGACTTTTCGATGTGTGTGTGTGTGCGCGGCACTTCTTTTCCGTCTCGGGACTCGGCACTCGGGCGCGGCCGGCGCGGCGGGCGCCCGCGGCGGCCGCGCCCGCCGCGCGCCCGCGCGGCGGGGGGGCGGGCGCGCGGGCTTCGGCGTTCGGGGGCGGCGAGATGTGTGTGTGTCCCAAATGAGGAAAGAAAGCTCCAGCGCTAACGTGGAGTCGCGACACGGTAGCGCAGGCCGTAGGGGAAAAACTCTGAAAAGGCAGGAGCGCGCGGCAAATCGCTGGGAGGAGCGGCATCCGTCTTGAAGACAGACGGACTGCATCTTCGCGGCGGGCCAACCGGGAAGGGAAGTGGCGTGGCAGTTATGCACCGAAGGATGCTCCCGCGCCGCCGGCGCCGCTCGTCAAACTCAGGCAGAGCCGGTTGCACCGAGGCCCACGCGCCGCTTGCTATCGTCGTCGACGGCGCCGCCCGAGGTGAGGCCGAAGCCGCCCCAGTCGGCCAGTGCGGGCGCCGGCAGCCCGCCCAACGAAAGGTTGCCTCCGCTCTGCCACCACGGCGAGCAAGACGTGCCCGAAGCGCCGGCGGGGCTTGGTACCCCCAGGGGAGGCAGCCCGGTCGCCATGTCCTGCCCGCGCGGGTGGCCGAGCGGGTCCGCGTGGCCGAAAGCAGCGGCGCCCCCAACGAACGGCGCGGGCGGCGACCACGGCGACGCGGCGGGGCTGTCGCCCCACGACGCCGCGCGAACCTGGCAAGGCGGGTGGGCAAGGCACGCACGGGTGAGAGGGGACGCACGGCCCGGGGGAGGGCGCGGTCGGGGCTGGCACGGCCCGCGAGGGGGGCGCCGCGCAGTCGGGCGGAGGGGGGGAGAGGCGCGCACCCTCGCCGGGGGCGCGGGCTGCTGCATCGGCAAAGGCGGCGGGGAAGGCGAGTCGAGGAGCTCGCGCAGCATCGACGAGCCCAGCTCGTCGAACGACGGCTGGGCGCCGCCGGTGGCGACGAACGGGTCGAGCAGGTCGTCGAGCGGGGTCGCGCGGACAGCGCTTGGCAGCGCGCCAGGCAGCCGATCGGCGCAGCCGTGCGGCCTCGGCAAGCCGCCCGCAGCGACGCCCGCCTCCCACGGGTTGGCGGCGTGGGCAGTCGGCCCGCCGTTGGCCACCCCGTCGCCCACCGCCAGCCGAGGCAGCGACGAGAGGGCGGGCGCGGAGCTGCCGCTGCTGCGCACGCAATCGCTCCAGCTGCTGCCGCCGCGCCGCGCCGCGCCGTCCGGAGCGGCGGCGGGGGCGGCCCGATCAGCGGAGGCGCGCGACGAGGCGGGGCTCGCAGTGTCCGGCTTGGTCGGCCCGGAGGCGGGCGCATCACTCGGCTGCGGCGTCGTCTTGTAGACGGCTTCCCGCACGAGCAGCGAGCGGCCGAGAAAGGCGGGCGGGTCGCCGCCCGCGTCAATGTGAGCGAGCAGCGCCCTCACCGCCGCCTCCTCCTTGAAGTAGACAAAGCCGTAGCCGGGCGAGGCGCGGCTGCCTTCCACCTTGACCTTGACCGCGCTGACGACGCCCCACTGCGAGAAGGACGCGCGCAGCTCTCGCTCGTGATCGAGCGCCGCCGCCGTCAGCGGAGCGACCCACACTCGCGGGCCCAGCTCGGCCGGCCGCGCACCCGCGTCGTGCTGGCCGTTGCCGCCGGCCGCCGCGGCCGCCCCGCGCCGGTTCCGCTCCCGCTCCCGGTCGGTGGACAGGGGACGGCTGTCGCCGCGGCCGCCGCTGGTCGACACCTCGGAGCGGCATGAGTTTGCCGGCGCCTCGCTGACGGCTGGCGTGGGAATGTTGGAGGAGCTGCCGCCGCCGCCACCACCGCCGCCGCCGCCGCGCCTCTTGGGCGCAACGCCGGCGTTGGAGCCCTCCGCCGCGGAGGCCACTGGGCTCGCCGCGGGTAGCCTCGCCTCCGCCTTGGAGGCCGCCTTGTCCGCCTTGGGCGCCGGCGGGGCGCTCGCCGGCGGGGCGGTTCGAGAAGCCTTCTCCTTCTTGGTGCCCGCCTTGTCCGGCCTGGCCGCGCCCGTCGAGGCGGCGGGTGCGGGTGCGGGTGCGGGTGCGGGTGCAGCGCCGCCCTTGTCCTTGGCCGGTTTGCCACCCTTCCGCTGCCCGGCCGCCGCCTCGGCAGCTGCGCCGGCGGCCGCCCTTGCCGCGTTGCCGTTGGGCTCGGTGCCACGTCGCCTGCGCAGCTCGGCCTTCCCCGACGCGACGGGCGACGAGAGCGCGGCCGGCAGCGTCGCAGCGTGCTTGCCGGCCGAAGCGCCTCCGACCCCGCCGCCCTTTTGCGACCCTCTGGAGCGGCCGTCCTTTCGCTTGACGTACTGAGGGTAGAGGGACGACGCCGTCGCCGCCGCAACCTCGTTGTCCACCTTGACCATGAAATGGAGGGTCGCGAGCAACACCGAACCGGCGACGAGCAGCACGATCGCGAGCAGCAGCAGCGAGTTGACGCCAAACAGCCCGCCGCCGTCCTCCTCATGCCTGCTGAAGCTCAGCGACGGCAGCCTCTCGCCCCTCTGCATCTCGGCGCGCAGCTGCGGCGCGAGCTGCGGCAGAGAGAGGTGACCGAGCGCGACCTCTTCCGCGTGCACCTGCTGGATGATGGAGGCGCGCTCCGAAGAGGTGAGCCCGTCGAGGACGCCCGTCGCCTCCAGCTCCATCGCCAGCTCCGAGATGTCCTGCGGCGGCGGCACCGGCGCCTCCTCGAGCGCGGCCGAAATCTCAAACCCGTCCGGCGGCGAGAGAAGGGTGATGCCGACGTGCACCGTGTGCTCGCTCTCGGTCGAGCGCATCAGCAGCTCGGCGGGCGTGCCCGGGAACCCCTCCGCGAGCAGGCGCGGGCTCGAGCTCACCAGCGAGACGAGCCCCTCGGTCGAGGCGGTGAGGAGCACCGGCTGGCTCGCCTCGACGCGCAGCAGCAGCTCGTGCAGCGCCGGCACCCGGACGGAGTAAAAGTACATCGTCGGGAGCATGTGCTCGACGGAAGCGGCGGCGGTGGCGGCGGTGCGCGGCGGCGCGCCGCCCTCGACCGTCACCCGCCTTGGCTCGCCCGGCTTGAGGCGCGTCACGACGAGCGGCTGCGAGTGGACGGTGAAGCGGAGCCGGTCCGAAGAGTGTGACATCGAGACGGAGCGCAGCGACAGCAGCAGCGGCGCGGCGTGCGTCTCCTGCGGCGCGGGGCGCGGTCGGTCGTCGGGCGCGCGCGGCGGGGGCGGCGCTCCGCCGCAACGCGGTGCGCGCGCGCTCGCCTCCACAACGAGTCTCTGGTAGGAGCAAATGTCAGAGCCGCACTCGACGGGCAGCGCCCAGTGCGCCTCCTCAAAGCTGCCCTTGGCGGTTGTGTACGAAAGGAGGAGGGCGGGCTGGCCGTTGTCGTGCGCGAGCACGCCCAGCAGCAGCTTCTGCCCGCGCGGCACGCCCGCCGTCGCCACTTGGAACTGGTAGACGTCCGAGTCGGCCTGCGCGTGCAGCGCGTCGGGCGCCGCCTTTCTCCAGTCCGCGGCGCTCGCCGGGGAAAAGACGTGGTGGGTGGTGATGGGGCGGCCGAGCGGGAGGGCGAGCCGCGGCTCGTCCTCCAGCTCCTCGCGCGACGGCAGCAGCGACGCGAAGCTGCGCGGCTTCGAGCTCGGGTCCACCGGATCGGCAGGCACAATCAGCTCGCCCGTCTCTGCGATGTGCGCGCCGCACGGCTTTGTCGAGCGGCGGCTGAGCAGGGAGTGCTGCAGGTCGGCGAGCTCGCGGTGGCCCGCGATCAGCGCGCCGATGCCGACGCCCGGCCGCGCCTCGTCCAGCTCCGACGCCGACAGGTTGGCGTGCGCAACGGACGCGCCCGCCAGGCCGCCCTCGGCGCTGCGCAGGTGGAAAAACAGCATCATCGCAGGCTGCGTGGCGTTGCCCGCGTCGTCGACGGGGGAGCCGGCCTCGCGCGCGAGGGTCGCGTGGCGCAGCGACTCCCACTGCGGCTCGGGCGCAGCCAGCCGAGGCGCCCACCACTCGGAGGCAGTCTGGCTGCCACCGTCCGGCCCTGCCGTCGCGAGCGCAGAGGCCGCCGGGAAGGCAACCTCGCGCCGCAGCGGCCGGGTGCCCAGACCGGCGCGGCCGAGCACGGAGCGGTCGATGCAGGCGCCCAGCAGCGCGCGGCTCAGCAGCAGGTCGAAGAGGGGCTCCTGCAGGCCCGAGAGCGGCGGGACGGCAAAGATGAGCCTGCGCCGCGGCGACGACGGCGTGCTGCGACCGCCGGCCTGCAGCTCGATAAAGGCGAGCCGCACGCCGGCGGGCCTGGTGACGCTCTCCGCCCGCGCCGCGCCTCCACCAGCGAGGGTGACGGAGGCGGTGAGCAGGAGCAGAACTGGCCAGGCGGAGGCCATCTTGGGATGAGTTTTTCTTTCTCTCTTTTGCCTGCCTCCGTCTCCAATAACAATTTCTTTTGAGCTTAGCCTTCGATGTTATGAAACAAACGCAAGGCGGACATGGCATATCGCTCTCGGGCCCACAGACATCCCGCACACCCGCCGCCCCCGCGCGCGCCCCACCCCGGCCGGGAGAAAGGGGAGTGACAGTTTGGGACGGCGACAGCCCGAGTATGTTGAGTCCTGGCTCAACAACGCAGGTTTCAAGAGGGGGTGGTCCGGCTCACAAGTCCGGCTCACGCGCCTCGAGCTGACCATCTACCGCACTGAGCACTTCCGCCCCCTCGCTCCCAACCCACCCACCTCGCCTCGGGCCGCGCCGCGCAATCTCGGGCGATCTCGCGCTATCTCGGGCGATCTCGGGGCCGCGCCGCGCTATCTCGGGCGATCTCGGAGCGTCGCTCGCGCGGCGTCACACCTGCTCAAAAAGGAAGGAGGTTGGAGGCAGGAGGTCACGCCCCATCCAGAGCGCCGTCGTCGCCGGGTTTTTGGCCCCCGGATTTCTTTTTCCAATAAAGCCAAAGGTCTGTCTAGCATTTTTTTTCGCGCGATTTTTTACTTGTTTCATGGGAATTCGGCGTACTTGCGGCCATGCTATCACGCCTTGCGACATCCTTTCGGCGCTGCTGACCGTGCCATGCTGCTCAACTGACCGCCTGCATAGCTCGCGGCCTTAGTCTTCGGCATTCAGTGACGACCTGATCGTACGGCCAGTAGGAAGGTGTCCTTCCAGCGCGTGCACGCTTCTGACGCAATGCGCGTGTCAAACTGCCTCGGATTGGCTGCTGGCACTCTCGAGGCTATGCCTACACAGCCTCGCGCGCATGGGCAGTCAAGAGGGACCATAGTTAGAGGCTGCGCAGGCCGTCCCGTTTGCTGTTTGCACATAAAAAAACGCCTGTTGCGCTGCGCGCGCGCGCGCCGGGGCTCTGTCTCACTCACGTGCCGCAATTGTGTCACACACGGCGGCTTCTGCCAAGTATAATAGTATGCACCTAGGTAAAGTGGGTTGAGGCGGGCTAGTACTGTAGGGTGGTCGGACTGTCTATTGGGATTGACCCCATAAATAGGGAAAGGCACGAACACACCAGTGAGGGAGGGCGAGACGATCGAGGGGTCCCGTACCATGCGGAATCGACCCTATCCAGTGCAGCAGGAGTGCACTAAGTCGGCTGGGTGGCCATCTTCAGCTCACTGGCAGCCGACGCCGCCTCGCCCGACTCGGTTTTTTTTTTCGCCCGACTCGGTCGTCGCTTCTCTTCACAGTCCCGTGCCCAGTGTTGTGCGAGGGAGTTTTGTTGTCAGATTCTCTTCACAGTTTGTGCTTTCGCGCCCCGAGCCATGGACATGCACACCGACAACGACGGCGCGGCCCTCGACAACAACGACGGGGTCGCGGCCGCCCTCTCCTATCCGGCGTGCCTCGATCTCTCGCTCGACGAGTTCAAGGCGGCGTGGAAGTCGAGTCGGCGGTACGTGGATCGCTCCACCGTGCAGGCGCTCAAGGAGGCTGCGCGTGCGAGGTTGGACATGTCGCTCGACGAGCTCATCGCGCTGGGCAAGCCCACGCAGAGCGGCCTGCATCCGCGCCGCCGCCCGCCGACGCTGCGCGAGCTCATGTCGGGCAAGGTGAGCCTCGGGCGCGACCACCACTCGCGCCCGAGCCCGCCGACGCTCGCCTCGATAGCCCGACACTCCTCGCTGGCCCGCGCTCGTGGGCTGGCCAGCGCCGGCTCCGCGAGCAGCTGGCCGACCGCCGGCACGTGGGCGCTCGGCGATGTGCTCGGCGACGAGGACCGGCGGCACGAGTTCAAGCGCGGCAACCTGCTCGCCTCCTGCCCGCGGGGCAGAGCCAAGTACGAGGCGTGCGTATGCGGCTTTGCCAACGGCGGAGGCGGGCGGCTCTACCTCGGCGTCGACAACGACGGAGCGGTGGCCGGCCTCTCCCTCTCCAAGAGAGACAGGGACGCGCTGCGACTGACGCACGACGGCATCGTCGCGCGGACCGACCCGCCGCTGCGAGGAGGCCTCGTCAAGCTCGACTTTGAGCCCGTCTCTGCGGCGCCGCACGACACGTACGTCGTCATGGTGACCTGGGGTGTGCCTCCCGCCCCGCAGTGGCCGACGCAGGGTGTGCCGGCCGGCTTATGCTGCTTGCAAACGGCGCACTCGAAGGCCTTCTGGGCGGGGTACATCGCGTGCCATAAGGGTCACCTCGAGTGCGTCCAGCTGATCCTCGAGGCCGGCGCGGCGGTCGACCAAGCCAAGGATGACGGCACCACGCCACTGAGCGCTGCGAGCCTGGCTGGCCAGATTGATTGCGTCCGTCTGATGCTCGCTGCCGGCGCTGCGGTGAATCAAGCAGACGCTGACG